ATTCTCTAAATCGGCACAATACATGCAAAACAAATGAGAACGAATATGCTTATTCTCTAAATCGGCACAATACATGCAAAACAAATGAGAACGAATATGCTTATTCTCTAAATCGGCACAATACATGCAAAACAAATGAGAACGAATATATGCTTATTCTCTAAATCGGCACAATACATGCAAAACAAATGAGAACGAATATATGCTTTATTCTCTAAATCCCAAACTTCGCAGCTACGTAGGCATTAATCTATTGTCTTAAAACTTGAAAGTAAATTTTATTAACTAATTGTTGTCGCGCTCTACAGAGAACTCAAAAGGAAAATTCGACAAAAACAAAACAGAATTCATACAGAACTTGGCTACACTTTAATAAGACGTACAAGCAAACACATGGTTTTTTGTTCATGATTTGCATGATTGCTTTTATCCGTAAAGCTATCACGTGGCATCAGTTTTACAACAGAACTCCTACGCTTCTATATGGGATTTGTACGGCGTATTCCACGTGAAATGCGGCAAACACGCAACTACGCTAATATGCGTGTTATACGCATTACAACATTTGCTAATCGTGCAACAATGTCCTCATAACACACAATCAAGCAATTAGAATGCTTTCTAGCCATTAAATTATCCAGGAGGTTAAATCCAATTCTAGCCAGAAAAGGCGCCAAACCGATTATTTTTACATCATAGACTCAAAGCGTAGAACATTTAGATTAAGTAGACGAAAGATTCCATACGTGCAGACAAATATTGGCCGTCTTGCTATTTAAGAATAATCTATCTATATAGGAACAACATCCATCCAAAGTAATTCCCAAAATCTTTTGTAGAACCTGTCCCACTTGCGGTACAAGAGCATAAGCTAAGTGTGGATGTATGCAACACGCAGAAGCATTGAAGATAGGCCAACCGTTCATTATTCGGAGCAACTCAAAGTCGCTTTCGAAATCGATATAAGGATATCTGTCTGTATATCCTTCTTATTTTCTTTTGTTGGAATTTGATATACCGACATGTTTTGTCCCAAAGACTGTGTAGGGTATTTAATTGTAGGCCGTGTCCCATTGTAGACTTTGCTTGTTTCAATATATTTCTGCTGGACTCTTTCAAATCGCACTAAACTTAAAAGGAAGGTAAATGTGTAAAGCGCAACTTACTTCTTCATCAAGAGCTGTTAACAGAATTCTTCAGTCATACAACAACAAATTATATAACAATACCTGACCAAATATTATTGATTGGCATTATTGTAGAAATTATTATATTATATATACGTATATACATTAGGCACATATTAAATTGTGTGTAAGTAAGTATGTTTACCGCAAGCCTCACTAGCTTTCCTCACATTTAACTCTTTCTGCGTAGCTGAAATTTCGATCGAAAATGCGAAGTTTCCAGAGGAAGACCAACTCTAACTTTATGTTAGAGTCCCGTTATTTTGAAACTAAAACATGAAATCTTCGAAATAATAATTTCGAGGTTAATCCTGTTTTTTTTCAGTTGCTCGATAACTTGCATCACTTAGCATATCTGCAAATTCATTTAGCTCATTTAGACACTTTTAATCAGTAGTTCCATATACAGAATAAAATTTTATATATTTATCAAAATTTGATGGCTTTTTTCTTTTATCCTCAGCATTTATCTTATTATCCTTGTTTATCTTTGTTGTTATCATTGCAGGATTATCATGTATTTTTTATGCACAATCCTTCGCCTAATAGATGTTTGGTATTCGATTTGGATACAACCCTACCATTTCCCACATATTTTCACAAATATGTAACGGAAACCTTTCGCTCAGATTTAGCACTAAGACCAGAACATCATCGGTATTTTTAAGAATTGTTTTTATTTTACATCTAATAATTTCAATTACGAGTAACTTGCTTTCAATATTAAACACTTTACAGATTCTTTAGAGTTATATCTGCTGAAACATATTTAATGGAATTCAGTTCGGATCGAAGGCATATGCGAAGACCGGATGGTAGTTGGATTAAACCGCCACCTTCCTATCCTCCTATACAATCAAATAGTAAATGTTTTAATAAACGAAAACAGATTTTTAATTTACAGGGCTTATCAAAAAAAAATAATAATAATAATTATAATTTTTATACCCATCACCGAAGCATGTGAAGGGTATACACATCTGTGAACACGTTCGCAACACCCAGTTGTAGCTCCCATCTTGATCAGCAACAAATTTGAAACCGATTTAAACGTGTCCGGCTGCCCGTCTATAGATCTGTCTTTCCGTATGTCCACCAATCAATTTCAAACTTGGCACAAAGATTGGAAATTCTTGCACGTAGCTTGGCATTGAAATTGACCCAAATCGGTCAAACGTCCCGATCATAGCACAATATAACCTAAGGCTACCCCCGTTTTCAAAAATAAAAAAAAATGTATTATAGCATTTTGCTTGTTACTTACAAACTACAATTTGAATTTATATCCCATAGATGGTCCTGCAGCGGATGTACAAAAATGGAAAAAATCGATCACTATCAATAATATAGAATATTAAAATTTCGTTGTTTTTTAAAAACTTTTGAACGTAGCCAGAAAAAAGCTTCAGAGATCATACAGAGTCTAGATATTATTGATCAGTATTATGCGGCGATGGGTATAAAAGACTCGGTTACGACAGAATATAATTTTTTGCACTTATTACTTTTCAGGCAATGTTCACAGTTTGGGTGATTTCATCTGTATGAGCCCCGGCAAAGGGCCTGGCACCGTTTATAGTTTGTCAGAATTTGTGCAAACTTTCTATAAATCGCCAAATGTGGTGGCGCAACAGAACAACAAATAATAACCATTGGCTAACAGATCTAGTTAAACCTAATTCTTAAGAAAAATCACATTTAAGTCAAACGACAAAAGAAAAGAAAACCAAGAGAGACCTAAAAAAAAAGCGAATATAATTCCGCATCCTCCTTAAGGCACACCACCACCACCACCACCACCAACTTCATTCAAAAATCCACATAGATTTTCTTTTTACAAGCTTCCTTCCCCCCCTCCCCTGCAAAAAAAAAAAAGATTATATACATATATATTTTAAAAAGTTTCTCACCTTCTCACTAAACTAAAAAAAACAAAAAAAAAGGTAATAAATAAATGAATAAACAAAACAAAAAGAAGAAAATCGAAAATAAGAAAAATTTCTGTGAGAATAATTAAAAGGCTTTATTTTTTTATCATAATAAAAAACTAAAACTGAACATAATGATTAAGTGACAAACTCTACGGTCTTTTTTTAATACAGCTATACATTGTTCCCCCTTCAAAAAAATGTGTCTATCTCCTTCCCCATTATCTTATTCGAACTTCCGTGTTTATTAATAATTAATCTTAACTCATTCCCGAGTATTTGAAATTATATGAACGTTTTTTACTATCCAAGAACTAAAAAAACCAATTTTTCTTATATTTTTAAATTACTTTTAAGAAAAAAAAAAAAAAAAAAAGGCGCATCCCGTAAGCAAATTGCCTTTCATGCGTTAAACTATAACAAAAATAATCAAAAGAACAAAAAATTCTTCTCACCATCGCTCACTCTTCAACACAGATAACGGACAGCTTGTGTTAGTAGAAAAGAGAAAGTATATGTCAAGTAACAAATCTTTCTCTCCCTTCTCCTCTTGCTCATAACTACAGCTACTACCTACAACAAACTAACAATTGTGCATAGATCTAATAATAAAAAAAAAGAAAAGAAATGAAAAAAAACAAATTTACTTTAATTAATACTTTAATTAATCATAAATAATTTGAAAGTCATAAGGAAAGAAAAACAAATAGTAAGCACTTTGATAAATTTCTTTACAAAGGAAACATTATTTTTTTGATATTAATAAATGCTTATATTGCTCCAATATTTGTTCCTCTTGGGCCAACGGTAAATCCATGTAATCTAATTCATTGTCAGTTAATCCCTCTTTGAAGCGCATAAAAGCATTTAAAGACTCGATCTCTCTAGTAGCTTTTTTCGCAACCTTTCCAGCCAAACTAATCAGACCATTAGACGTAGAGGGAATATTTTCCTCATTGGCGATTGCTGTCATCCTTTTTATAAAACTATTAATATCCTCACAATCGGTATGATATTTAATTAAAATATCAATGGCATTCTCAAGATTATTTAGTGATATTTGTAAAGCCATGCGTACGTGAGATTCGTCAAAACCTAATTGTAGCAATTGTTGCATTAATCTAGCGTCAACGGTATAATCTGAAGACGATTTACGGCGTAATTCGTCGGTATAATTCTCCAATAAATCCAAGGCTCTATTTAAATCATTTTTACTATCAAGTAAAGCTTGTATCACCAAATTGCTTGGGTAGCCCATTTCGATCAAAGTATTAACACTGGTTGGATTAACCCAATTCTCATTCTGATTTCCTAAAGATAAATCTTGATTGAGTCTACGTTTTTTTAACGAACACGAGCGCGTTGTATTCAATTTCTCATTGTGGGCGTTTATATAGGTGATCGCTTGCTCTATATCACCACCGCAAGCCCGCAAGCCTAATCGCGCCTCATAAGGTTCATAACCCATTTCTACTAAAGTTTTCATCGACTTCTCGTTCACTTTGAGGGCACGCAATTCATTCTCGGCGATTAAAAACTTTTCATAGGCCTCACTTCGTTTCTTTTGATGGAAGAGCACAACACCCTGCAACAAATGTAAACGCATAATACGGGCTTTTCCGCAAGAAGTCTCACCTTTAAGGTAATCCAAACGCTGCAAGTTTTCACCGTAATAGCGACGAAAATTTTTTTCGCAAATTTCCAAACGTCTTTGCGCATCAGGTAGTTGCGTAACATTTTGAAGGCATAAATAACACCAAACGATGTCCAAATTAAGTAATGCATAATTATCGACACACTCCAAAAATTTTGAATTACAAATGATAAATTTCTGATCAGCTTCTAATAATAGTATTAAAGCTTCATCGTATCTCTCACGTTTTATGGCCACGCGAGCCTTCTCACAAATACCCAAAGCAATTAGTATAGCTCTATTCTCGGCGGGTGGTAAAAATACAGCATTACCATCTTGATCTTCCATCTCGAATAAATGGCTATTGGAATCGACAATAGTTTCTACGTCCTCTTTAATCTTTTGTATACGAGCGTGCATAACAAATTCTTGCATCTGTTCTTCTTTACCGGCTTCGCTAATAATTAACATCAATTGCTGATTGTTTTTAATTCCTTGATCCGTTAACGATTGACATGGATCGAGAATTTTACCGGCAGAAATACATTTAATCCTATCTGGTTCATCAATATCTAAGATTTTGGCGATATTTTTCTGTAACACACTGCCCAAAGATGTTAATGGACACTTAACTTCCACAATACTTTCAGTGCCTGTTCGATTATTGACACGTCGTACATTAAAAGTGGCAACACCTGTGGTCGCAAACTCTTCTCGTGCTTTCGATTTTCTTATTGCGCCCTCTTGTAATTCTATCAGAGCTAATCTGCAGTCTGATTTGGAAATTCCCAGAATACGGCTAAATTGATCTGCCAAATTCTCAATTTCAATTTCGTCCGCCCCAATTGTCCCCTCATAATACGGTGGAAGCCACAGCTTTATACAGAGTTCATGTAAACGGGCGCGAACTTGCATAGTAATGTCATCTATTTTCGACATTTTTATTCAAAATCCTATATAGTTTCCTCTTTTAACACAATTTTTTGAACAACACGTAAGAAAAAATTGAAAAAATTCAAATAAACCGCATTCCCAGCACGGGTAAGTTGAAGAAGAGAAAAGGTGATAGCACAATTTCTTTTTAAGCAATGAAAAAATAATTCATATGTAAAAAAAATAAGGTGCTGCCAACTTTTTACTTTTTCTTTTCATGACTTGCTAAGAAGTTTGCTCTTATATGCGACAGTAGTTGTATAGTTGTAGTAGTCGCAAAACAGTAGATTACTTGATTTTTCTTAATTAGATTTCGCAATTTCGCATTTTACCCGATTAAATTACTGGAAAAGAAATTTGCGGAATTTCCGTCGGTAATATTTCTAATCTCTATTATGGAACTCAATGATTGCTTGTTTTCTTTCTTCAGGACTATCTCGATTATTTAGAAATATTTTTCTATATCAATTCTTATTTCCTAACACTGTATTGCAAGCTCAGAAATAGAACGTTAACAATAAAGGTAAGCTCAGGTTTTCGTTGAAGAATCTTAGTAGACTGTGATAATGAGCAAAAACCTTTACAGAAAATTTCCCACAAAAAAAAATATCAACGTCTCTGGAATGTCTGGAGTAAAACAAAGCTTCCAACAACATCAATACCTGCACAGGCACAACATCACGCATTTTATGGAATTGAATTTGCCCTCGAAATAGTAGCTTTCAGAATATCCTTCTTTACCAGTTGTCTACGCCCACATATATAGACTGTGAAATTTTATTTTTAATATATATTATCTTATAAATTATAAGCAAATACGGATTATTTGGTCTTGCATCAGTTGTAACTCATTACATTCAATCGAATTAAAGATCAAATATGATAGAGATATAGAAGTAGTTGTTCATTTATTTCTCTTTGATTTCTCAGGTTTTTGATTTACCTTGATAAAGATCGCAATTTACGTATTGTGATATAGTTATTTCTTGTTGCTTTAAGCTGCACTCTACTTCCGTTTTCTTTCGTAAGAAATCATAGGCTTCCTTCCATGAAGATTAGTAAATTCCTTTCATATAAATGTTAGCAAAACAATAATCAAAACATACAAATGAAAACAAAACAAAAAATCGCTAAAACAAGACTGATGCATTGAAATAATATTTGCAATTGCTTTTACATTGCTTTAACCCCTTTCGAAATAATTAGGTGCTTAGGTCCGTTTATCTGTAAATGAGAATTTCATTTCAGCTGATTTTTTTATCCATTTATTGAAAGATAACTAAGTTTTAGTCTTTTAGCTAACAAAAAGACAAACAAACAAATTATAACAGAAAACAAAAATTTATGAAAAATATAATAATAATAATAATAATAATAATAATAAACAAAAAATCAAGTTAACATTGTTTCTAGTTACAACAGCAAAAATATACGAAAAAAAAAATACTTTTATGTACTTTTTTAATAACATTAATTATAAGCATTAAAAACAGCTACAAGATATCAAATATCAACAAATCGCAGCAAAATCCGCAAATTTCATCGCTACACAGCCGTTTAATATCTCCTTCACTCTCACTCTCTCTATGTTTACATTTTTTATTCCTTAGCTAGTGGAAGAGTGCTGTTCAGCTGTTTCATATTCGCAGAAAAATAAAAAAACAAAATTGATGAGCAACTCGGTTTGATTCGAATTGTTTAAAAAGAAAATTAAAAACAATTTATGTATATCGTGTGTGTTCTAGTCCATGGGTAAATATTTACGACACAATCTATAAATATAGGATATTTCATATCATATTTTAATATAATTTAGCGTCACCCCACATGTTAAATGAATTGGCCAGTTTTTTCTGTACTTCTTTTTCCGGTGAATTCAGCTGATTTTAAACCAGGGGAGTAATCAGAATGAAAAATTTTAATGACATTAAAGCATTATGCATAAGAATTACAAAATTACAGAATGACAGGCAATTCAAGAAGACATTGTAAAAGTACATGTATGAATATGCACGTCCAACTCTTTTTTACACGGTAAGTAAATTCGTATGTGAAAAATCCTCTAATAAAATACATGCGAAGAAACGAAAAAACAATCAAATCCATATTACATATGTATATAACAAAAAGGACTAAAAACTTAGGCGAAAAAAAACAATTTCGCAACTATCATTGTTAGTTGATAACAAACGGGCCCGTTTATTACAGACACAACTAAAAATACTGTCGTCAATAGATATATCTGATACGTCTAGCACAACTATCGGATTTGATTCAAAGGGAGAATTTCGTTCATTATTGACAGCCTCTGTTGTTGTTTTTTTATTGTTATAAAATCTGTTATCATGCATTAGCTGTTTTTTGGGTTTCGCAAGTTGTCACAGTTGTATTGAAATTTTAGTAGATGCTCCATGCCAAATTCGGATATTCCCCTTAGTAGACCAAGCTACCAAGAAAATCGAAATTAAAATTAAAAAAAGCATTTTTTTTTTTTGCAATTCGTGCAAGAACAAAAAATTCTTTTAAAAATGTGATTTGCTTTTATTGCTGTAGTGCTATTTTAAAATCGGGTAAAAATACCATGTAAAGAAAGAGTTGGATGTACATTAGAAGTGCATGTTTTCAATAAATATCCCTTTCATTTTCGTTTTCAATTGTTTGGTAAACGAAAGCGTGAACTAACTTTTAACTATGTAATAACCTGCCCGGGAAAAAAATACAAAATTAAATTTCAAGATAAAAACAATGTTTTCAAATCTTAAATATAATGGCAAGAGAGGAAAAGTTATCAGTTGTTGCTAATTTGAATAAGACAAATGATCCCCCAAAAGTAGTTTTTGCGTAAATTTTTATTATAACATTTCTTTACATTTGTATAAAAATCTTGGATCGATTTAGTTGATTTTCAAAATTATTGTTAATAAGAGGACACTTGAAAGGAAAAATTTGGCATTGTTGATTTTTGCTTATTAAAACCGCGTTTTCGGTGATTTTATAACAATTTGATTTTAATTTCAATCGTGTATTTTAAAAACCGACGGATATCAATAAATTAAGATTAAGCAAAAATATATATACTTTAGGAAATATTGGAATACTTTCCCTTCCCAACTGAAATAATAAATATCAGGAGGGTAATCACGTGTGAAAAACTTATCTCTCGCTTTCATTTTCAGTTGTTTTTGCTGAAGCGCTCAATGCGAAAGTGATAGCTAACTTGCATTTCATATGAAATCCCTCCCAGCATCTGATGACTTTTCTAAAACTCGGGAAGGAACAACTTCGAACTACTGCATACGAGAAGCTGAACTCTGGCTCCCGAAAAGTTAAAACAGGAATGTTAAATCTTGCAAAACAGTCGAGCAAAACGAACGTTCATTCCACAATTATGTTTGTAGCAAACTAATACCTTCTAAAAAACGAGTAAAAACATTATAGTTGAGAGGCGTGACCTAGGTCGATCAAAGCTGTAGAATAGCTTCGTTGACTATTCTGGATGTCTTTATTGTCTTATAAAGCATAATAATATTGTAAAGGAAAAATTGATTACAATGAAACAATAATAATTTTTTTAAATATTGTAGGCGTGACCGTGCTTGCAAAACGTCAAATGTTTTTAAAAGCAAAAAAATAGTATTTTTTTTATATGATAAAAATATTTGAAATATTTATTGCAGTTGTCAAAACTTTAAATATTTTTGTTCCTTTTTTTCTTTTCGATATTAAAATATTCTGTTTAAAAACTGAAGGTTAAAGAAAGTGATAATTGAAAAATCTAAATACTAATGTAAAATTAAATATATTTTTAAAATATGAAATAACTTATACATGTATATATATATACATATATATATATATAACCCAAAAACAAAGCAAAACTATTTCTTAATAATGAGAAAGGATGAATTATACCTTTTGTTTCTATTATAATAATGGAGAAAAAAATATATGAAAGCGATTTTTTAATTGAAAATTTATGAAATAAAATATTTTGCTCTAAATGTCTTTCTAATATCCACAATTTTTCTCTCTTATTATCACCCTCTCTCTTTTCCTCACTTCCATTTTTCTGTCTTATTGTGAATATATACATATTCATAAATGCATACATATATATATATAATTAATTAATAAATTATATATACAAAATAATTTGATAACTTTTGTATTAAAAAAAAGAAAATATAAAAAATACTAAAAATTAATATAAATTATAAATAAAAAATAAAAATATAGAGAACAAAAGCAACGGTGTATAGACTTTTGAAAGCCTAATGGAAGAATGCTTATTAAATAAAAATAATAAAAAAAACGTAACTATAGCAGAAATGCTTAGAAAATACGAAATTTTATTAAAAAGTAATTAATTATCAAAAAATTGATTTAAAGTTTCTTTTAAAAAGAAGAGGCTTGATTTACGATATAGCTTCTTTCAAAATTTACATACTACACAAAGCATTAGCAAATAAAAAAAGAAAAAAAGAAGATATAAGAAAAGAAACTAAAAATGAGAAAATAACAATACTACAGCAACAAAAACAAGAATACAACAAATACCGAATAATTTTATTAAATTTAAACGAATAATAATTAACAGCTATTTACACTTGATATAGTGAAACACACATACACATACACGATAAAAGCATTAACGATAACGCTTAACAAAATTACAAGAAATGATTGAAAATAAAACTAAAAAAAAGAAAAAAACAAATTTTAATTCACATTTTTAAAGAAAAACTCACTAAACATCTGTTCATCAGATATTTAAAAAAAAGGTAAAGAAAAAAAAAATATATATATATATAAAAATCTTTCTCCTCCCTTCCTTCCAATTTATATACATACATAAGTAAATATTATTAAAACTATTTGCATAAAACTAAATTATTTTAAGCCAAATAAGATTTTGTCTTGATTTAGAAGCATTTAAATGAGTATAAATAAAAAAAATTTGCAATTTTCAAAATTATGCCATAACAACCCATGGGTTATACATCGAATTCTCCACTGGTTAATAGGACAATTTTCTTATTTTGTTATTATGCATTCAAAGTAATTTTTGTTTAACTCTACGTATCCACCCTGGTTTTCTGTGAAGTAATTTTCGACAGCGATCTGGGGTATGTGATAGACGATATTTGACGAGAACACACCATGAAGGTGGCATGCAGTCAACACCAAAGAATATGAAGGTTTAAAGGGCTGCACACAAGAATGCAGTTGGAACTCAGTTGCATCGCACACCAATTCTCACGTGCAGAAATGCATATGTAAAGGCACATGTTTATAAACAGTAAAGATATCTGCTCTCGACTCATGTAAAAATATGTTATGCATGATGCGCGATTCAAATACCTTCACTGCTTTTAGCAGGTAAACTTACCGCTACCCTATCAGATTATGGATTTTCATTTCAAGGTTTATTTCTGATCGGCTTTCAAATGTGAAATATTGAGAATTAGACCTTCTTACCATATAAATATTCAGTTTTCGCAGGAGCGTAGGAGTTGCATGAGAGGAAGTCAGGAAATTGCCCCAGCAGATCCGCTCATTTCACACCAATTTAAAATGCTGAAATATAATTAGTCAGCGACTTTGTCGAGAAATTTTCAAATTTTCAAATTTTTTACAATATTTTTTTAATTAGGCCTTCTATTGGAAGTGATCAAAAAAGTCCTCCGGTCCGAATCATTTTCAAATTCCGACCTGTATTGATATATATATTACTATAAAAAAGCTGGTCAATATCAAGTCCTTCGGAGTGTTGCAGACCTCACCACAAGCTTAATATAGTCTTATACAATAAGTGGTGTAGGGTATGAACATATGGGCTTTTTTGTATATATTTCTGGATACAACATACAAAACAACAAACCACCTGAGTGGCTTCGACAAATTTCAAAGTTTTCCTGTTGCCGGTGGATAAGAAAGAAATTTTTTTCAGAGACTTTTCGACTCGCTTTACGCTTAGGTTTTCTTTGATTAAATCTTTTTAAATTATTTTTCCGTAGTTAGGAAAACATATTTAAAAAAAATATATATAAAATTTAATTTTTAAAATTATATATACAATAAGAATATTTAAAGCTAAAGCATGGCGCAAAATAAACAAACACACATAGAAACACAAACACATACAGAGACACACATACACTTGCATATATAATAGTCCAAATAACTAAAAAAAAAAAAAGAAAGAAACTTGTTTTAAAAAATGTTTTCTCCAAAATGAATAAAAAGTATTCCTTTTTAAAATGGTTTCAAAAATCAGTCATTTATATGCGTGTGTGTAAAAGCTAAATTAAATGCTTGTTTTTAATTAAAATTTAAAGAAAAACTTTTAAAATTTTATTTTTTTCTTGTATATATTTTTTATAATTTTTTTTAATTCATTTTTTTATCTCTCTTTTTACCAAAAATATATCGTAATTTCTTTACAATTTATAAAAAAAAAAAAAAAGAAACTTTTTATGATATAAAAAAGCATCTACACCAATAATATTGACATACTATGATATAAAGTACAGCAACAGCAACCAACAAGAACAACAAGAACAAGAAATTAATATTAAAAAAAAAAATTGCTATTTCAATAATTATTAATAATAAAAAGAAGAAGAAAACTTTATGAAAATTGTAAATGAGATAAAATCAAATAAAGAAACTTCGCCTTAGGGCGAATTTTGGAATCTTAGATACCCATCACAACCCCAAAGCACGTTCGGATTAATCCGCTGATGAGTGCTTCCTTAACCCTTAACTGCATAGTAAAGCCACGCTTGCTTACTCGTAGATTTTTAAAAATTGAAAGAAAATACAAAAGAAATGTCTACAGAAAATGAAGAAAAATAAATTTTATATTTCTCTGCAAGTTTGTAGAAAATAGCAAATAGTGAAGTAGCCCTGTGAAAAAATTTTTTATATAATGTCTCTATACAGCACCGCTTGCATAACTTGCTGTTAAGTTTAATTTTATCAAACCCGTTCTACAGTTTCCGAACACAACTGCAATCTTTGACTGCTTATTTCTTCACCCATGAAAATTTTCATTGCAGGCGATGAGCCAGATTTGGGAGTCACCAATAATGTTGTCTTACGATTAGTCAAGGTTTTACTAAGAATGAGGAATTATGCAATGCTTTGCAATAATTTTTACACATCTTTGGCGTACTATTTATCGAAACAAGGGATCGCTTGTGTCGCGAGTGTACAACAGAATAGATTGTCTAATTGTAGACTTGCGGTGGTTTTTCGCTTAAGATGATTGTAAGGCGGAAATCTTCTAACATTGCTCGCTCTCTATTCAAAAAATTCGTTCTGAGTGTCGGTTCAAGTAAATGTCTATTGGGAAATTATAGTGCAATGTCTTACTTGTTGATTGTTATTTCGTGTCATGCAGTAATAGGCGTGTTCGGAAATTGTTTATTTTGATTTAAGAGCCATTCCGAACAAGAATACATCTAACTCTCTTTTTACACGAATTTTTTTACAAGAAATTAATTAAAAAGAAAAAAGAAGGTTCTCTTTTTACATGAATTGTTTTGTTTTAACACGACGAAGTTTTTTTACGATTTTGGTTAATGAATTTTTCTGAGGATTTGTTTTTGTGTTTGTTTCTTAACTGAATTTTTTTATTCTCACTCCTCACGAATACCACGTTATATTTTTTACAAGTCATAGAGTGAAGACGTAATGTATTTTTTAATTAACTTAGTTTGATTTCTCAAGGTATAATTTATTTTTTATAATATATTTAATGAATTAAAATGTGCAAGCAATAAATAAATAAATTCTTAAGGGAAGTTTAGCAAGCATTTTTTAATATTATTTATCGCACATTTCAGTTGCATTTTTAGGTCTGCAATCTATCTACTATTTTTCCATTTAGCCAATATCTTTTTTACCCGAGTTTTATGGCAACGCGTCTATCGCGCTGATGTACGTCAACCGAAGTTCAGTATTTTTATGAAAAGAATATAGTTTTTAACTATAGCGACTAGCATTGCTGTGTGAAATGTAACTGCCAGTATGACTAGGATTCTAAAATACATTAAACTTTTGGGGATGCAAATTGATACCCCCTCATACAATTTTTACCTGGATCCTAGGCTAACCATGTCAAGAAAGCTGAGCGAGCAGATGCTCAGATAGTTACATAAGATCTTCAAAACAAAAGAAAGAGGAGGAATATTTAACCTTGGAAGATTAATTTTGTAATCCTAAAATCGTGGATTAATAGAAACAATACACAAAAACTTTATTATGATGAAAACCATGTGTATAGTACGTCAAAATTTCTCGAAATACTTTATTTCATTCGGCAAGGAACATAATACAAACGATTTTCATTTTTGTGTTCGAATTTTTTACTACGTCCTCAAAGCAGCATTCTCTAGTAATAAGAGGGGATAATTTAAACATCAACAGTATTAATAGTATTGCGTTCCAAAGGGCAAATCAGTTTTGCCCATAATGATACCGTTTTCTTGATACGCCACAGAAAGGAGAAGGAACGTTTAGTTTCTCAAACAAAATTGATTTTTCGCTTATGAGCTAACTTTTTGCGGTTGCACGGTTTTCCACACCAGCTTTGAGGTACCATGATAGACGCCTACTACGTGGAAGGTATTTTTACCAGCTACCTATGCTAGCGAGTTGTGTTTTCTTATTTGAAGTTTTCGGAGAATCTATGGAATTCTTTGGCTACAGTATCACTGGCTGCAATTATAGAATTTTGTTTGAGTCTAGAGGGGGACCTTTTGAATAGCGCCGATGTATCAAATCGACTTTTCTGAACTGACAAATTTTCAATCTCGGAAGTTCTCGCCAAATCAGAGACAAATCTGGAAAACTGTATATTTTTAAATGCAAAATTTATAAACAAAGCGAATATGAAATATGTTTATGGAAATGCTGTTTTTAAAGGATTGCTAAATCTGGCAACATTAATATTTGGAAAATACTGAAGTCACTAGTTAACTTCCCTGGTTTTCATTAGCAAAATAAAAATAAAAAATTTTGTAACTCTTTGAGAAAGTCTTTGTTATTAATTTGTAAAAGAATAAATTTGGGTTTAGTGCAATAAAAGGACTAATTTTTACTTAGCAAAAATTAATTTCTTTATATACTCTAAACAATCCCGTCTTTTTTTTTTGTTGAAAATAATCTGCAAAATATTTAGCCTGAATTCTTGAGCTACGTTCCAATAAATCCATAGAAATGCATTTGAGTGCAGACATCTCAAGTGCTTTGCAACAAATCGAGGCTGTTAAACGGGGTGTTAATGAAAGCGACGATGCAAAATTGCAAGCTTTAACAGATGAGAGTATTAAGACAATCGTAGATATACTCCGAGACCCCGTATTTCGGACTATTGTCCACGTTCAGGATTCGTTGTCTGAACTGAATGCTCAGCTAACACAGCATCCTTCAATGTTACCTAATGACTTCGACATCGATATGGCTGGAAATCTAGTGCTTAGTGTAAATGGTGGCGACGTTATGTATGATTTTGACGAACGTTTGTCTTCACCATTAAATAGTACTAGCCCCGTAGCAAGTGGTAAAATCGGTACCGAATTAGCAGAAGCTCAACACACGAAGATACCTTCACTGTCTGGGGTAGAACTTTTCCCTACTGATTACGTTCAAGTTCAGGCTATAGAATTGGTCAATGACGGCACAGGTTTAGGTTTTGGTATAATCGGTGCTCGAACGGGTTTGTTGTCCAATTGAATTTTTTGTTTGCATAGTTTTGTCATTTTAACAGAGTTTTTGTTTGGTTTGTCATTTAACAGATCTCTTGACGAATGTATTGCCACTAAATTCGGGTGTTATTGTGAAAACTATTTTGCCAGGAGGTGTAGCTGATAGAGATGGCCGCCTTCGCTCGGGCGATCATATTCTTCAAATAGGTGACGTAAACTTACAAGAAATGGTTTCAGAACAAGTCGCTGCCGTTTTACGACAGTCTGGTACACATGTTCGTCTAGTAGTGGGGAGAGCTATAGAAAATCCTTTGCCAACTGGTCTTAATTTAGAGCCTGGCAGTGCAATTGTGCCTGCACGTGTTTTAGTTGATCGTGCCGAATTAGAGCGCTATCTAATATCTACAGGATTTCCTGAGATATTCGGAGAAAGCTCAAATGCTTCTACACCTCAAACGACGGCAACCGAAGATGAACGTTTTATATATCGTGGAGCTGCAGGACAATCACCAATGATTGATTTACTGGAGCTACCAGAAACTGAAACGTTGCAAGTGGAACTTACCAAAGATGCCAACGGTTTGGGTATAACAATAGCTGGTTACGTATGTGAGAAGGAGGAGCTTTCGGGTATCTTTGTTAAAAGTGTTTCTCCTGGTTCTGCGGCCGATCTCAACGGACGCATACATGTTAATGATCGCATAATTGAAGTGGATGGACAATCTTTGCAAGGTTTTTCTAATCATCAGGCGGTAGAACTTTTAAAAAAATCGGGTCAGGTTGTAAATTTACGTTTAGAACGTTATCTACGTGGACCGAAATATGAACAACTACAACAAGCCATAGCGGCTAACGATAAAATAACCATTAGCGCAACGTCTACACCGTCACGTAATTCCGCACAGCATTGTTCTACAGCGGGAACATCGCTTTTAATGACAAGCAGTTCCGAAATGTCTGCTTATTTTCCGGGCTTGGATGTGAGCAGTTTTCTGACGGAGTCTGACTCATTCATGCAGCCGACGATTGCGAAGCCAGCTGAAACGTCAACTGCTTCCACTAGTGCGAGCGGTTTCGGCATCGATAATATTAGTGAAGAGCTTCCCAAGTTATCTCCGGAACGTGCTCCAGAGTGCGAACAAGAGGTAAGAATAAGACGCAGTCTTCTTTGTTATTCTTTAAAAAAACATTGTTTCCTTAGACACATGCTAAAAACAATATACTCTTGGCGCGACATAAATATTATACCGAACCGGAATTAACTCCTGAAGTAGAACAGGAAATTATAAGAAAGTGGAAAAATACCGTTGGTTCCGATGTCGACATTATCGTAGCGCAGATAAAAAAATTTCCAATCGGTGGACTGGGAATCTCACTGGAAGGCACTGTTGATGTAGAGGGTGGCCGAGAGGTCCGGCCACATCATTATATACGCTCCATTTTAGCCGATGGACCAGTAGGTGTGAATGGCAAACTGCGCGCTGGTGACGAGTTACTGGAGGTTAATGGAGAGCGTTTGTTTGGCATGAACCACCTTGAAGTGGTAGCAATTTTGAAAGAATTGCCTCAAGATGTGCGTATGGTGTGTGGACGTGGTAGAACCGAATTGCTACCTTTTTCGGATGATACGTTACGCAAGTTAGGTAATAATTTCGACAACCTAATACCGTCTTCTGATCGTTTAGTTAAAGCAAAATCAGATGGAAATTTGGCAACTTCATCGCCAACAAACGAAGATTCCTTTAAACTGAAGTCACGTTCTCTAGAACCGCTAACTGGTCTAGCGATGTGGTCTTCGGAGCCGCAAATAATCGAATTAATAAAAGGCGATCGCGGCTTGGGTTTTTCGATATTGGATTATCAAGATCCTATGGATTCTAATGATTGCTTAATTGTCATACGCTCTTTGGTACCAGGTGGTGTCGCGCAATTGGATGGACGTTTAATACCAGGAGATCGTTTGCTATTCGTAAATAATATTAATTTAGAAAATGCTACTTTAGATCAAGCTGTGCAAGCTTTGAAAGGAGCGCCGAAGGGTTCCGTACGTATTGGTGTAGCCAAACCCTTGCCTATGACGGATACTTCGCTTAAAGCAAATGGTAACAATAGCGGAAACGCTTTGTCATCTGAAGGTGATAGTGCTGGCAATTCATCAAACACCCGGAGCCTTCCTGCCACCGGTAGTACGATGGAAAGCACCGAATCTGAATTCGTAACCAACTGGCATAATTAAATGTTAACTACCATAGAGAAAAATTAAAACATTCCCTTAACACTTTTACGATTTATATTTTACATAAATTATATTATTACATGTACTTAATAATAAAATTACCATCAAAACATTTCAATTAAGTCACCCTATTTAACCGCCTTTCCAATTTCTGATGTGTTCTGCGCGAGAGTACGCGGTACCGGGCATATGACAGCACATAGCTGAACAAGCCCATCGTAAAACACCATACCTCAAATTTGACAAATTTTCTTTGATCTACGAGAGCCACACGATCACAACTCTTTGTCACCGTTTCGCCGCTCTTACAACGCAACACTTCCTTGTAATTAGTGTGTATGCAAACGCCTAAACTCCGGCTAACTAAATCGAAATCTGTGCACGGATGACATTCCTGTATAACGGTATATTCTTCTCGCATCCAGCAGGTGGAATTGTTTTCGATTATAAATTGTTGCGTTTTGTTTTGACGCACCGAAGTTGTCAAACGCGACTCCAATATTAATACGACCAGTGTTATTGAAACTAAAAGACCTAAACCCAAAAACATATGTTTCTTTTGGCAAACTTCCAGCATATTTGCACAAATTAGCAAACGAAAGATTTACCGAAACTTTTTTTTGTATATAAAAAGGAAATGGATACAATGGTAACACAATTAAACATGTCATAAAATGCCTGAGCGAACATATGATTTTGCAGAGTCGTATGAAAAGAGCTTAGCAATTTTTTATTTTCCTCATCTGCGAACAAAATTAATACAATTATGAGATTAAAAAATTCAACGGTAAATTTACGAAAATGTTATTTAGAATAGCATTTTAAAAACAAGCAATTATTTTAACAACCTGGGCCCTCTACTCCGTTAATTTATGGATATCGTCTTTTACTTTTAAAAGAATTTGGGATAATCTAATTAGAGTTTTAAGAATATCTTTCATTAAATGTTTCTTAGGTCAGGCGAAATTTTAACTCATCGCATTTGTTAAGAGAGAAGTTTTTTATAAGTGGATAACATCATATAACACAATAAAGCCAAGAAATATAATTTAAATCTGTAATATAAGCGTTCTTATTAATTGAAATTAGAAATTCAAAAAAAGCATTTAAAAGAATTCTCTTGCTTGTCTTCGAATATTAAAGGCATTAAGAGAATTAATTCCGTATAGCATATAATTTACAATTTTTATGCAATGGATGTCGACTTTAAGATTTTGTAAGCCCAGTCCGGTAAATTCTTATAGTTTCTGTCAAATATGGCACCTTTACAAATACTAATCTAAGGACGCATTTCAAAACAATCTGGTATCTCCATTCTATGTTAAAAAAAGCTTTTAGAGAGTAATGAATGTGTTTTTGAGAATAAAATTTGCTTTGCTGTTTGTTCTTATGGAGCCCTTTTCGAGAGTAAGAATATCTTTCTGAGAGTAAGATTTGTCTTGCTGTGTGTTTCTTATGGAAATATCTCTGAGAGTAAATTTGTTTTACCGTTTTGTTACTGAAGTGTTGACTCAGTTTTGCTACAAAACAAGATTGCATTGCCATCTCTGTGTTTTGCATTAAATAAAAGGAACGAAAAAATAATTGTGAATATACATTGTACAGAGTCTGATTTTAATAACAATAAAGCGCTAAAGCTTTTAATATATATATATATGCAGTTAATATCTGCTAATAGGTGTTCAGTTGTTGAACGCTCCTCGCCAGCATTTTTTAAACGGGCAGTAAGCAGCGCGTTCGGGTGTAGAAATTGTGTATTAACCTTTTTTTTGAATTTTTTTTAAAAAAGCAATAGTAGCCAGAAGAAATTATATTTGAAAAATTGGAAATATATAATAAAATCATTGCATAGACAAGCGAAAGCTATTTAGCCACTTTTGATGAATATCGTTTTCCTTGTGGAATTGGAAATCAAAAAGCAAGAAACGACAACCAAACGCACCAATAAGAACGAAAAACTGGGAAAACCGTCAAAATCCGAAATAAAAAAAGTTGGGTGGATTTATCAAATCGTACACACACATATATTTACAAGGCTCGTTTTGTAGTGTATACATCAGATATATATCGGATATTTCGTAATACTTGTTCACAACTGAAGAAAAAAAATTTTTTTTGAAAAGTAATTTTCGTGCATTTTTCTGTTATTCAATATAAGTTTCAATAAATTGGGGGATTGCGGGAATAAAAAAGAATTTACCTGTAAAATTTTTGGGAAATATTACTAAACAAAGTGAAAGTGTTTCTTAAGAAAAATTTTACAAGAAAAAGTTGAGCTGGACGTGCTAAACATTAAACATTAAAGGTAGCGGCTTCTACACAGTTAAGAAAAAAAATTTACAATTAGCCTGATTACAAAACAGGTGCACTAGACAAGTAAAAAGAAAAAAAATCTCCCCGCGAATTCATTCATTGCTCTGTTGTCTCTAATTGTAACAGAGTAGATTTTTAAAAGAGCGAAAGCTAAAACAGCCGTCAAAAAGAGAGAGAAAGAGAAGGGGAGTTTCTACCAACCAATAACCAAAAAATATCAAACATTCGATTGCAACATGAGTGGATACACAGATTTAACCAAATTGGAAAATAGTCGGTAAGTGATGCACACTTTACTACAGAGACAATAAATAATTACATACGACTAACTTGCAAATGACGATTGGAGAGACGGAAATAGCTTATAACGACTTATGCATTATTGCAAGTAAATTAAATTTTATTATAATCATTGAATATTTTAGAAAAAAAATTTTTATTTTGAAGCCTAAGTTTATAGGTTTCTTTCTTTAGCTTAGGTGTTGTAAAAACGCTTTTTCTTTAACATGCATACTTACGCATACACACACATACGCCACTTACCATCTTCATAGTCATATTCTGTTCATTCTAAATACATACATATGAGCGTAAAATTTATCGTATGATTTTCTGTGACTGGGCAAAAAAAAATGTTAAAAAAACATTGTTTATTCAATGACTATTGTACGTAAGCTCTCTGCTTTATGACGCTGTGCTTGCAATATTGTTATGTATGTTAGTGTTTTATTGTAGTTTGGTTAGTTGCCTCAAAAAACCGCTTTTTTTTCTTCTATTGAATATCATGACACAATCTGCTTATTCGCGTTACGCTTTTAGCAGCGGCACAGCGCAGTACTTACTCCAACAACAATAACTATGTAGAAAATTCAGATTTATTTAGGGAGTCTTTAATTTGTTTACTTATTTGCTTAGAAATCTCGAATTCAAATTTCGTAGTAATTATCGCCTTTGTCTCATTTGCAGTAAAGCGTTAATTATGTAAAATGAAAAAAAAAACATTTCTTGGAAAAAAAATCACTTTTTTTCATACTTTGTATATATTGCACTTGTAATTGTTGTTTAAAGCACTTGTACTGTAATTGATGTGTGTGTTTGCTAATTTAGAATTATAAAAAAATAAATTTATATTAGTTAAATATAGACCTCACGCCACCCACTCATATTACAAAAGTCTTCTATTGAAAAACGACTGCTATTACAAGCCGGCTCGTGTTTGGCTTATCTAATAAAAATTAATTGTTTGTTTGCTATATGTGTGTCGCTAGGTATCATATATTTTCTTCATAAACATTTCAATTCTAATTTTATTAAAGCATATGGAAACAAAAATAAAAAATAAACAGAAAATTGAAAGGTGGTATATTACACATCAACCTACGGTTAATCATATCATGATTTTTCAAAATAAGACTTTTTATAAAAAGTGGATGGAAAAGCAGCCCGATTAGGCCCATTTTATGATCTAAAACACGTCAGAGTGCCAAATTTCATTAAAATATCTCAAAGGTTGCGTCTTGGAACTTGAACAAAGGAGAACAAGACGGACGGAGAGAGAAAGTTAGTTCCATTCAGACATTGATTTTGGATACAAATGAAATGTGTTACAAAAGCATTGAGCAGGAAGGAATGACTTGCTCTTCACTTTAAACGCATAACACGCTCGAATTTCACAACACATTGAAATCTCATTTATTCGCGGATGCATACGGATATCTCTACCTTTGACTATACAAAGACTACACCCACGAAAGCGTTTTAGCGTAAACAAATTCATAAACTACATAAACACTGAACTAGCAATGTACGAAAATCACATATCGAAGATTGCCTTTTTAAATCGAATCAATGCAGCAATAGCAAGTAAGAAAGCTGTATTCGGTTGAGATCCAACCTTTTATAGCCATCACCATTATGCTAAGAACGACAAAAGCAGTAAAAGAGCTAAATTTTCATGCTTTACAATTTGAAAAGGGCGAGGCTGTGTTTCTTTATTTTCCAAACAAAAGTTTGTGTCGCACGGCCATGTGGGCGTTGTAGTCATGTCCCCTGTAAAGTTTAGGTCACTTCCAAAATCTTTCGAAAGGAGAATGTTCACCACAGATACTACCCGTTTGGGCAAACGGACAGACGTACGTGCTTTAGGTGCATTCAAAATTCGGAATTGCCCAAAAATCTATGATGGGCGTAATAAGGTTTGTAAAGTATATTTTGAAATCCGATAAAAACACAAAAGTCTATTGAAGAACTGTTTTATAAAAGTCGACGGGACATGTGTTTGGTGATATTAAACGAGCATAATCGAGAGAACTTTTTTCTTTAAAAACACTGCATACAAGCTTAAATATATGGATATTAAGGTTCAATATTCAAGAGCATTGAATGTACAAACGTTCTACTGGATACCTTTTTTGGTTGAATTATGAAAATCTAATCGAGATATATGTACTGCACTACCTGATCTAATCTTTTTGAAATGCTTTGAAAAGGGAGAGCAACAAGAGATACTAAAAAATTTTTGTAGCTTCTATAAAGAACCTGATAGGATTCCTACAAGGAATTGTTCCTTGCAAATATAAAAAATAGAAATTAGTCTAAATTAGTAAACAAAAGAAACAAAAGTATAGTTTCATTCCTGCGTAGCATTCTTCGCCTGCATGCTGACAAAGAGCATTCTAAAGGGCGGTCTGCAGGATCTGAGTCGCTAATGGAAAAGTAAGAAACCCCTAAGTTTTAGCAGATAGTACGCGATGTGAAATGAGCATCGAGAAGTCCTCGCATTGACTGTTGATCTCCTTTCTGTTTTGTTTGTCTAATTAAAGCTCAACATTCATAACATTTATAATACCTATACCTAGATGTCTGTGTGTGTTTGTGAAATATATATATATATTCCGAAAATTTCTGACGCCAACAAGCGAAAGCACGGCCACGATTCGCCATTAAACACACCATATCATTCTACAGTTGTTCATATAACGACGTTTCAAAAGAAGGCTTTCTATGGAGATTGGTCGGCAAAGTGCTCCGATCGAAGCAATTCAATTGCATTCGTCGTCACTAGGCTAAAACATATCGATGTGCGAGATTTCATCAAAATGTCTCATATAAGTTGATCACAAGGAAACAAGACGGGCGGACGCACTGACAAGCTAAGATTCATTCAGAAAGTGATTCTTAAGGATGGACCTGTCTATCTTAACGCCTTCTGGGCATTGCTTATATCCGCATAAACTTAACATGCTCTTACCTTATACCACAATTGGTGTAGGATTATAAGAAGTCTCTTTGTAGGCGTGAAAACTGTCATTACCAAGGTTTCTACATATGTATGTACGTAAGAAAGGATCTTCGAAACGAGTTCGCGATACCTTTCATAACTGGAAATAATCAAAGGTGTATTTAACGCGCGTCGACAATTATTCAATAAGCAAACTAACTTCCCGCATTTACTCAAAGGGACTGAAATCAGTGAAAAACAAATTTTCGAAATTCTTATTAATGTTACAAACGTAAACCCATGGCTATCAAATGTTACTTTGGTGTAGCGGGAAGCAAAACTGTAACATATATTCAACAAATACATGCATAAAACTGCTACTACTGCTGATACTACTGCTATTGCTACAATGACCGTAAACCTTCACCTCACCAACCCTTATGTGTTTGTATGTGTTAGGTATACGTGCTCTTCATCTCAAATAAGCCATTGTCTGCAATTATGCAAGTGTTGTTGTTGTAAAATCATACGATTAAATTCAGGTCAACCACCACCACCAACATTGTCGTCATCATCATCATCATCATCATCATCATCAACATCATGATCATCATATTAACGTAAGTTGTGGTTGATTTTTGGAAGTATGAGCAAACAGAGCCGCACATTGTAGCAGCGTAGCTATGTCGTTGGGTTTGGCAAAATGATGCACATACCTCTGGCACCTTAAAATCACCCGATTTTTGCTTTGTATGCTGTAGAAGTAGAGCGCATGCGCTAATAATTTCAACAGCTGCCGTCTTTTCTTTTTCCCTTATTTTTTTAAAACGAACATTTCTTTTGGCAATAATTGGAAAAAGTGCCGGTTCATTGTGTAATTCATGCCACTTATACGAAAAGGAAGGGAGCAGGGAACGGTGTGAAGTACGATTTAATACTAGATACCCTTAAAAACTTTAAGAGAAAAAAAGCTTCGAAAAGCTTAAACTAAGTCAAAATCTTTGTCTACTGTCGCAACAGCCGTAAGGTAAGGGATGCAAAATGTTGCTCTCTCGACTTTCCTCGCCTATATTATATACAGTGTTCTTTGGCGCACGGCAACGACGTCTATACGTCTACGGCTTTCCGCTTTTCCTTCGCTTATACATCACGCGAGCGGTGGCGTGGTTTTATTCCACATTCTTCTTTTGATTTTTTTCCTTTTTTTTATAAAAAAAATAAATTTTTCAATTTAAATTCATTAATGTATTTTGTGCGATATAAATATATGATAAACTATTCAGCTGGTACTTGCAAAATTATTCGGTTTCTATTCATATCTAGAGATTTTAATTATTTTTCCGATCTTCTGAAAGATAAAGTAAAATTAATTCCATGAGGTGCTCTCAGCTGATTCATTTATGCCGGCATGTCTAAATGTATGTGTCAGCCCGTAGTGTTCGCCTACCTTATCTAACCATGTTCGCATATCCGTGCCCATAATATCTAGTCACGTCTACCTGTCCCTCTGTATATGTCGTCTCGCTATCTATTCACACTCGTCTGCACGTCTCGGCAAGTATCGGTATTGGTTTATTTAGTTTCGATCCCGTACCTAGCCTCTGCTGCCTGGATAGCCGTACCTGTCTTTTTCTTCCTCCTCCCATTCGTTTGTCAATCTTTTATAAATTACATTGCATAAAATTTCAAGTTTAACCAAACTCCGAATCATTTCCGTAAGCGTTCGCCCTTGAATCAAAACATTTCATCAAAATATATCTATATAAAAAAGGCAGACACAAACACAGACAGACAGATAGACATGTAGACAGATAGACGGACAAACAAGCTGAGGTGGGTCGATCTCAAGTCCTTCCGGGTGTTGCATACATCTGCATATATAATCAACATGTATTCCCTTGCACCTTGCACAGGTGGTGTAAGTGCTGTAAAAATGTAGTACGGTTCACATCTTTACGGAGAAATTTGATGGAAAAGTTAATTGTATTTTTTATCGTACGTACGCTTTTGTAAGCAGTACCCTAATGATGACTTATTTGAACTTTTATTCGCTTGAT